AACGGTTCACAAGAATCTGTCCGATATAAAGAGATTCCGGTATATACACGTCCGGTATAAACAGGTTTGACTGTATAATCAATACGAGATTTGGAAGAGTAGGTAGAATAATTGCGAAAGAGAGTAAATCTGGGAGGTCCAGGAAGAGAACCAGCCAGGTCAATAAGATTGGGAAAGTGTTGAGAGAAAAGTGTAGTGTTAGGAAAATTTTGAGAATTAGGTTGGGAAGACCATCTGTCACGAAGTTGGGTTGTAATATTAAAGTCACCAGAGCATATAAGATTTGGGGAGAAAGGTAAGGGGGGAAAGGAGGACCAAAAGGAAGAAGAGTTGTTTGGAGGAGCATATATATTTCTTATTGCATATGAACAAGATGAAGAGGAGATAGAAATATCCATAATTCGTTGATCTTGAGAAGTAAAAATAACCCTAGATGAAAATGAAGAATGAATTAGAGTAATTAGATGTTTAGTAGCATAGAATTGACCAGGCCATAAAGACTTAAAAAGAGAGATTTGAAAATCTGATGGAAATGAGGATTGTGCTGTAAATGTTTCTTGGAGGCATATTATGTGAGGATTGAAAGATGAGAGTTTGGAAAGAATAAATTGTAGTTTATGGTGTGAAGAGAGTCCATTAACATTCAAAGATACAACTGTTGGGACTGTCATCATTAGTTTGTTCGTTGTTTTTTAATGGAGGATCTTGTAACTGTGTGATAAGGATTGGTGTCGTTTGGATCTGAATTCTGTGAGGACAGGGGAGCATAGTTAAGAGATGCAGAGGAAGAGAGTTTTGGAGATAAATGAGAGGTATCTGTTTGCATGTTAGTATCAGAGTTGTCATCATTATGTTTAGTATCATTGCTGGTTTGAACATCAGAAGTTTCATTCACATTTAGGTTGTTAGTATTTTCATAAGTATTTTCATTATTACTATCCAGAGTCATCTCAGAATCAAAATAATTGGCATTATCAGAGTTTTCTGAAGATGTAGACATGACAGATTCCATGGCAGTGAGTGTTTCATCAACAAAGACTAGGTTAGAAGATGTAGATTGTGTAGTAGTGGTAGGAGGCATAGATGGTGTAGACTGAGAATTAGGTTGCAACAAAGGAGTGGAAGAAGAATGTTGGGAAAGAAGATTAGTTTTATGATTCAATTGTTGGGAAGTAGCTTGGGCATAGGTTCTTGCATCATTTGGTGGTCTAAGAGAAAGGCGGATTTTACGTTGAGGACAAGCACGATGAGAGTGACCAGGAGTCTTACAATGGAGACAAACAGGGTCAGAGTTGAACCAAGTGAGAGCAATAGGGCAGTTAAGAATTTTAAGATGTACAGGAATCTTCTTGTCTGGGAGGGGAGAGACAACAGCATCCCACTTTGTTGTGAGAATATCTGAGTCAGTATACACAATTGGAGCAATTTCTTTTACAGTACAGAAAGGAGACAATGAGGTGTTAATGGCATTGTGAATGACAGATTTTGAACTATAGGGAGGCCATGTAAGTGAATAACCAGGGATTTACGAGGGTAATTGCGAGGAGGAGAGAGATGGATGGGTTTGTTGTTAATTTGGATGGGAGATTGGTTGAGATAAGTTTCAAAGGCTGTTTGGG